AAAATTCTAACTAAATCCTAATCAAATCTTAATTAAATTCTAAAGAGATTTTAAAAAATCCTAAACAAATTCAAAAAAAATCAAAGTAGATCCTAACCAATTCCTATAGCTATTTTAAAATCTCAATAAATTCTAATCGAATCAATGATTTCAACTCAAGTTTCACTTATATTTCAATCTATAAACAATTAACAAGCATGTAAAATTTGAGAAAAGTCAAATCCACCAATCAGGAAAAAAAAAAATCCTAAACCTCTTAGATATTGGCTGCCCTCCTTCTCCAACTTCAATATTGATCTTTTAGCAGTAATTCATTCTTTTTAAGCAGTTAAATTACTTTTATTATTGATTTGTCTGTAGATTTTTAATTTCTAATTATTCTCAATAATTTTTACTTCAATTGAACTAGGAAAATTTTTAAGCTCATAAAAATCCTCACTAATCCTAAATTTTAAAAATTTGAGAATCTAATTCAAAAAAACTCTCATATCTTTCAATCTAACAATTCAATCAACATCAAATTTTTTAAAAAGATTGATGACAAGATCAATAACAAATTTAAAAACTTTTATTTGTAAATGTATTACAACACTCACACAATACTCAAAATTATAAATCTCTTTTTATTTCTCAAAATCCAAAACCATTGAGTACATCTCTTACTTTGAAAAGCCCTTAAAAAATCTTTCACTTGTCTACTTCCAAACTCTACTCTCTAATCAACCAAAAACCCTTCAAATTATTATAGGTGCATGGATTTGTGTCTCTAGGTCTAATTTCAACTATAGTTCACAACCAATCCTTTCCAAGTATCAATTCTTGGTATTTTGGGATAAATTTTACTTAAATCTATTCTTAATTCTCTTCTAAAGATGCCTATATGATTTATTTTTCTAATCTATTTTTTTTATTTATGGCCTTACAAGTAAGTAGAAGCTTCATTTACAAGAAAGAAACATTAACACTTACTAATTTTTACTACCTCCTTGTCTATTAACTATATTTCTAAGATAATTTGCTAAAATATTTTTATTTAAGATCTTCTATAATATAATCTTTTCTTTTTTCTTTCACCTAATGGTTGTGTTACAACATAACAAAATATCAAAAAAAAAATTAATTAAAATAATATCTATAAAAAATATTAATATTTATTGGTATTGTCAACTTTAAAATGATATTATATTTACTTGAGGATCCTTATTTATTTCAAGGTTTTGAAAGACACTTTTCAGCATATTGAAGTTTGATATTAAAACATCTTTATCTTTTTATCTTCAAATTCATAAATATATAAAGCATTTGAATAAAGTATTAGAATAATATTTATAATATATCATAAAATATCACCAAGACAATGAAGATACTATTGAACAAGGCTCAAGAATATCAAAAAAAACTAATATGAATATCTAAATATAAAATAACCTCTATTTAAAGTTGACAAGAAGGTGTAAAAAATATTTGTATTATTTAGACTAATTGACCTTATAATTGATCTTATATTAAAGACTTAATATGATTTATTTTTTTTTAAAAGTAATATATTTAGATATCAAATTCAATTATCATAGTCAATAAAGGTTTTTTTATGGATTTTATGTATTTCTTTTAGCCTTATTTTACAATCAACATTCCAAGAAAATAAATTACAACTAGCTCCTATTAAAATAGATAATAACAAAAGTTTAAAGTAAAAGAAATCTTAGATTTAAGGCATATTCAAAATATATTGAAGTATCTTATATATAAGCACAAATATGATATTAGTAAACATACATGAGAGCCATCTAAGAATCTAATAAATCTATTAAAACTTTTTTTTTTTTATTATTAATGCTATCTATTAAAATTTGTAATTGATTCTATAAAAAGATAATATGAGAGTTTTTTGTGATACATCTAGTATCTTATATTTTTAGTGAAAGAAGTCTTTCCAATAATTTTACATAATTCCAATAGATTTATTATTCTTCTATTACTTCAATTATTCTAAGATGAATTTTTCAACTTCTTGTTTGCCTTGCTACTATTTGCATTACATTCCTTTCTTGATTTAATTCACCATCTTTAAATTTAGTTACAATCCAATCCATTGCCAAGAATTTATTCAAATTTTAAAAAATACCTAACAACAATGAGTGTTTTTTATAGTATTTGTTTTTACAACAAATCATTATAAAAATATTGTGACATCTATTTAAAAATTATAAAATAATTTTATTAAGAAATTTAATGGTAACAAGCCTATATATTATAGATTCATCTATCAAAAAAATAAATAAATAAATAAATAGCACCAATTGTAATATTATACATCAGGTTCATTAAACTACTATTATATTTGAATTTATAATTCGTTATTTTTAGCAATCAACAAACTATTCTTATTTTATTAAAAAAATAAATATAACATGATATTTTAGAATCATGTATATGTTAAAGTCATAATCAATTAGCTTTTATCATTCAGAGGTATCACCTATTAAATCTTACCAATAGTAGTTGTGTAGGACTATGAAACTTAATAGTGTTTAATGTAATTAAAAATCCAACCAATCCTACTATAAAAGACTTATCTTGGTTTAAAAAATTATAACCTCAACTTCAACTGATATTCCATAGTCTTTAATTTCTTCTTAATCTAGTTACAAAAATACCAAAAATAAAATAAAATAAATTTTACATAGAAAAATTATACTTCAATTTGTTATAGTAAAGGCATTTGCATAAATTAAAAAATCTGCGATTAATATATTGATTTGTCTACTTATAATTTATACAAAATTTAATTTTCATTTAACTAAAGCTTCTTAGTATATTCAAAAGTAATAAAGGACATTCAAGATGTTCTTGGAAAACATAATGCATTTATTTTATTTGAATGTATTGTTGTTACAATTGTCTAATTGATCTTTCAAAAGAAACTCTATTTCCATTTAAACCAATTTATGACCTATGACAAAATAAATCACTTTCTTTCATAGAAAATATATATAAATGTAATACTTATAAAAACATTTTTTAACATAAAAACATGTGCACAAGTACACAAATTATTTGTATGAAAAAAAAATCAGATTTTTGTAAATGTATATAGATTATGATAAATCTCACAAGTTGGTTAGTAAAAATATTTATTTATTATCTTTGATATGAATTCTTCTTAGCTAATTAAACCAAAATAAGATCTTGTGCATTATAACTATTTTTGAATATAAGGATAAAATAAGGTCTAATATGAGTAAGTATTCTAATAATGTTATATTTAATGTAAAATTTAATGAATTTGTGTTAATAAACAATAATTTTAAAAAAAATGTAGATATTATAATATAAAACAAGAATGATAATTTTTTTTTTAATCTTGAGATAGTACTTTTGGATCATCATTCTACATTGATTTTTTTAAAATATTTTTGATCTTTTATGGCAATTGCAAAAATAAAATAACAACTTATAAAAAGTTCTTTATACATATTCAACACTACTTAAATTTTTAAATTTTAGATTTATTCAAGAATTTTTATACCTCTAATTACAATTTATATTGATCACAAGAACCTCAATTATTTAGTTTTACTACCTATCTAAAATTTTCACCAAGCATATTGAAGTATGTCTTTCTTACAATTTATATACGACATTACTAATTATCTTAAAAAACAAAAAAATATTATTTATTTATTTATTTATTTGCTGGTTGTTTCCATCTTACACTGACACAAGGTGATGCCAAATACGGTTAACATTTTATTGAACTTTAAGAAATTACGTCTATAAATCATAAATTCAATAATTCTTGTTAATTCTACATGATTTAAGAATTTTATTCAATGCATCAAAAGAACTCTTTTTTCTTGAAGTTCAAAAAGAAGACTTTTGATGATTTGAATAGATTTGGTTTCAACAATAACCACCTTTACTTTGAGTTTGTTTGAATATTGTAAAATTGATGTGTGTGTATATATATATATATATATATATAATAAAATAAAACATGTCTGGTCAATATTATTCAACAGATCAATTCGTGTGACATTCAAACGGTTTACACGGCCACTCATAATTATCTATAAACGTACATACAAATACAACAAATGTTAGACGTTTTCTTTTTGAAGTTTACATGGTTTTGATTTCCAACTTGTCTACGGTAATATTAAATTTATAACAAATTGTGTAGCGAAGGATGTGGACACAAGACCTTTGTTAATTCTACACGTAGCATGTGCCTCTTATTGGTTGCAGTTTCTAATTAATAAATGCTTTTACTTCAATCGTCGTTACACAGTGATTGATGGATATGTGAAAGAGCGGAAAACAGTTCACACGTGGAACGGTCAAACGGTACATGGGCAAATATTGGAAGCTCTACTTTTTTCAGCGTCTGATTAAGATATTGACATTTAACAAACTGCAATACAATTATAAGAAGTAAAATTAAACAAAGTATATTATCGTACCCATTTGACTATTAAATAGTATGCTTTACTGAAATAAATTAAGTGTGATAACTATCAATACACACGTCACCATAGTGTAGAAAAAAGTCAATTTCAATCAATTTTAGAGAGTACGCAGTTGATTGAATTGTCCAAGGTGGTCCCCAAGGACAATTTGGACTTATCCAGGTCTTCCTCGAGGCAGATGATGAGATGAGTCCAGACTTTCGACAACAACAGCAACTTTACCTGATATCCAATTTAAGAAACAGAAAACTCTTTCAACAAATGAAAGGAGAATATTCAAGCTAAGACACTGCTTCAGATTTGTCAATCTGAGTGGACTGGAAGACTCCGACAACGTAGAGATCAAGACCATGACAGCCTCACACAGGATGGCAAATACTGAAGGCAGTATCGGATAACCATATTTCATAGCAATTCTTTAAAGGCTTGAAGCAAAGCCCTTGGTAACGAAAAAAGAGCAACTCATTTCTCACTGGTAGTTCCAACATCCCAGGGAACAAGTTCAAGAAAGCAGGCTGGGACTCAAAATGGCTGGTCAAAAAAGGGAAATGGAAAATAGATTACAAAGTACAGATTGAAAACAAATGCACAACTACAGGATCATATCATCTCTTTACAGACTAAAGGTCGTCGAGCTAAGACTGAACTAAAAATGCACAAACCTTGAAGGCTGGATCTACACTGCAAAATTCAGAGGCTTGGCGAAGCAAACAGTTACTGGCTAATGGATGCTGGTATGGCATATGTTGCCAAGTTCGCCACACTGCCGCATCATGGAGTGGCCCTAATCGTTTAGACGACTTCTCATCATCTTATCTTCTAGTGTACAACGAAGTAAAAAAAAATGATACACTCAACGCGTACCATTCACAAGTCAACATGACTCGAGGTTATACCGAGCAACCCCTGTATCAGAGGGTCTAGGAACTTTTGATGATCATTGCGAAACTATCACACGAGACCACTACGTCCGCTGCACTTCAAATTTTGTCCTTCTACAATTCCGTCGAAGTATCCACAAGCCGCCGCCAAAAATTAGCTATCTCCTGGAAATTACAAGCTGGGAATTCTCTCCAATATACATCCTTGCTCACCAGATTCACACCAAATTGAGGGGGAAGAGGCGAATCACGCGAGCGCTGAGACTTGAGAAGACAGATCAGAACCAAAGGAGCCAAATCCCTCTATCCTGACAGCAGGGCTTGCACTGTAAGCGGAAGTCCCATGGGAAGAAGGAACGTAGGAAGAGGGTCCGCATGAACTCAGTTGCTGAGATAAGTTAGATGAGGTCCTCTGTTGTAAGAACTTAGAGTCGTGAATCAGAGGGTTCCCTGCTCGGGCAGGAGGGGAGCCGCAGAAACTCGGAGGTGAGCAACCAAAGCTCGAAACCTCTCTGATCCCACCCTTACTAAAGAAGATGTCAAGCAACTCAAAACAGGCTGCGTTCTCGACACGGGCTGATGGTTTACTGCATAAACAGCGAAGTAAGTCAATTTCATGCTCCAGGGTAAGAGGGGTAGAACATAAGCCACGGATCATATACGAACTCAACATAAAATGAGCAGATATGTCGGACGGAGGTGCATACTTCTTGTGACGGCGAGAAGGCTTCATGAGCTCGCTCACTGGGACATTCACACTGGTTGGCCGTCTGGGTTTGGGACAGATAAGCTCTTCCTCAATCCCTTCAACTCGTAAGCCCGAACGAGTTCTCCTCTTCTCATTAATTTCCGGCCAAACGTCCACGGGACTCCATACCAATTGCTGGACGCTATTCATATTCCTGGTAAGATCCATATTTTCCAAGAATCCTGAATGATCCACTGTTATCTCCGAAATGTTGAAAGAACAAAATGCCTTGAATGATTTTTCTTGTAGGCGTTCCTCGACAGTGAGTTCACTGAAACTATCAGTAGCCAGATGGAAGTCGACAAATTCGAAACACTTCAATTTACATGTCCTCGAAAATTTACAAAAAATTATTAATCCACAAGACCTGCTGGACAAAATGAAGGAAGCTGTTAATTTTTGGACCGAAAAACTTTGCACATCAGTGATTAAGCCGTTACTTCAACACTAGTTAGGCATAACACACTCAAACAAAACTCCTAGTTGCCCAGGTCTACGTCTGACATCCCGACGCCTCACTTCCTCCACAGAAAAACACGCCGCAATGGTCGCACAGGCCCAACGAGCTACCTTTCATCTACCGACACTAGACAAAACTCACGTTTGCATCTGGATACAATACGGCTACAAATATATTTTCGTAGCTCATTACAAAACGCCTTTCAACGTTAGCAAGAAGAGTCCAAGACGACGATAGACATGCCCAGGGCTACTACACAGAAGGTCTGCTTCTACCATAGATAAGAGCAACAGTATCAACAAGTCACGCGCTGACCAATCACGAACTCTGCGTCGAAACCTCTGTTCACCATGTTTCAATTAATCTTAACATAAGTACTACAAGAACGCCACACACCAAGACCTCAACCAACGAAAGATTGCCTCCAGCGAACAACGCTCAAGCTAGCATCCCTATGAACGGCGTCGCATCATCGACGTCCGCACTCTCCCCGTTGCAACATAAATCACGCCCCCGCACCTCTAAACCTTCCGACCATCACCACAATAACCACAAAAATCGAAAAGTCGCCCTCCCTCACTCGCGTTTTATCTGTTGCACTGCTACTCCAACTCTGCCCTGTTGCCCTTCGCCCGTCGTCACCAACTCAAATATATTACATCTGCTACAGAGTTTCTCTCTCTCACCTTCAAGCACCCCCAACCCCGGAAAACTTGCACGGCACAGACGACGCTGCTCTCCAACTTAACTCGTTGTTGACACTGACCTTCTCCTACTCAGGACGTGCGATACAGCTAATGTAATTTATGAGAGCAGGGGGGGCTACTGGTAGACTAAGTAGCTGTTGAACGAATTGGAGCCCCCTTCTCCACCACCATCGCCCGCGGTAGGCGTCTATTCACCAGCCTTTACGGAAGAGAGATCTTCCCCCTCGGCTTGTGCCGACGGACGAAAAACCAATCGCTTATCATTCATCTTCATTTCGCTGAATTCATCCAACATATCAGACGGATGAATAAAGTCCCATATAGCAAAGGACCCGCGCAGAGCTTTCATCCACATCATGAAAATGTTCATCAAGAGTTTGATGTCATCCGTGGAAAGTCTACACAATATTGGAATTCATCCTGTAATTTTCATCCGTTTGGGTTCATGAGTGACCGTCCCGTCCGGCTCCAGGAGCGGGGACGTGGGCCGCCATGCGCTAACTCAGGGTGGCACTGCGCGACGGAAAATATCCTCGGATACTCCAAACGGAACGGAACGCGGGGGGAAGGGAACTCGGTTCTCGGGTTGGGATCGTTTGATTCCCAAGGGGGTTCCCCATGAGGATTTTCTCTCCATTGTATTGTATGATGAGAGCATGGTGGCATGTTCCTAACGGCCCGTTGTTACCACTTGGTGTTGTGCGCTGGTTCGGATCCCTTTGGAGGGCGTTTTGCTTGGGTTGGGTCCCATTGCCCTTCCCCCTTCACCGTCTTCACATGGGAATTACTTCATGACCTTTTTATCTTTCACATTTCTCCTTCCGTAAAGAAACTGCTGTCTCGATTTTAAAGTTCTACTGAAGAAAAAGGGGGGGAAAAAGGAAACAGAAAAACCATCAAATGGTCTCATTAATTGGCCAAGTTCATGTCAATATTTCGTAGTCTTGTACGAGAGAAGATTTTTGCGAGATTGGTGTAATACAGGCCTCCTTTTGCTGCGACCTTGCAGTATTCAATGAAACACAACTCTTTGTTATTTTTATTTTTTTTTCCTGTGGGCTTTACTTTGAGAATTGAATGAATGTGTACATGGATATTTATACGTGAGCACTCAAATAGGTAGAAGGATTCAAGTGCGGGATAAATAGTGGTACATGCTCGGATACCCTTCGAGAGAATTTTCATTTCACCTGAAAAAAAAAATACTGGAACTAAACTATTCTGTCGGCCAAATTTCATTCAAAAGCCTGTTTTGGGTACTGTTAAAACTCGCAGTTTTCTGTGACTTTCTCCCTTCCTTCGAATTCCTCCTTCTCTTTCCGCCCCCTAATCTCCACTTTTTTGGTTTAGTTTGTTTTATGCTAAGAATCCAGTGCCTTAATGTGGAGAGGAATTTAAATATTCCAAGTAATGTGATCAGCCACATCTCAGGAAGGGAAGGGAAGGGCAAGCAACCTGGGATCTTCCCCACCAGGCCCTGCTTCAGACTCTACCCAGCATTAAGCAACTTCGAATGGGTGTGGTGTCATATGCGTGTGTGTGCGCGCGTGCGTGCGTGTGTAAATATATATATATATATATATATATAAATACACACACACACACACTCTGTTTGTTTTTTGTTTTTTAATTTTAATTTTTATGGCAGGGTTCTCAGGCTGTGTGAAGTGTTGTGAATGAATGGCTTTGCTTCGCTGTAGAAATGGTGGACAGCCTGGGCCTAGACTTATGTCTTAAAGTGGTGGCCAAGACACTGGGAAAAAAAAAAAAAAAAAAAAAAAACAACAACAACAACAACAACAACAACAATGAAAAAGCAAAGTTGCACTCACGGTTGGAAGGAATAATTGTAGCAAAGGTTCAGAATAAAGAGTGAGATAATAAGTCAAATAATGTGCTTAGTAGCGTAAAGACCCTAAGAGAATGCAACCTTTCTTAACTACTTCGAACAATCCTTTCACTTCATTGTAAACAATGCAGGTATTAATTTAGATTTCTAAACTACATCGAATAACAAAAAAGAAAAGGAAATAAAGAGTGGAAATATCTTCCCCACAATGTCAGAACAGAAAGAGATTTTTCCCTCTATTTCTTTGGAACGGGTTTAGGACGGGGCGGGAACGGGGGAAGGGCAGAGGTGGGGCCCGGGCCCAGAAGATGCCTAGCACCCACCACTTGCCACTCGTTCAGCTGCCCGATGGATTTCGGGCGACAGTGAAAAATCTTGTTCCCTTCAAGCGGCATCGGCTACGTTCTCACGTTGCAATAAGGCTCTCAAGGAATTCCTGGAGTGCCCAAGGGAAAAAGGCAGAAAATCTCTGTCCCCTTAGAAAAGTAAGTGTGTCAGAAGATATCAGCTCCCCAGTTGAGGAACCTTAGGGCAACCGCTGCACTCGACGGCTGCCCCCGCAGGAAAAAAAAAAACACAAAACAAAACAAAACAAAACAAAAAAACACACACACACACACAAACACTAACACACAAATATCCCAAAAGTAGAAAGGGTAGGAAAGATCGAAGCTTTTACTTTTATCACTGACAAAGAAATCATACCCGGATGCGTCTCGGTTCAGTCCTCGGGTATCGATCGGAACGAGAAGAGAGGGATCGGGTCTGGTCTTTACTGTGGCCTAGACTATTTTGTCACAAAATAAATGGCTGAATGACTGTTGAAGAAGAAGAGGAGAAATAGTGTAATTTATTGTTGTTTATTGTAGCAAAGATAGATCACATGCATTGGTTCTATTCAATTTTGATCTTTTTTGGTGAAGGATATTGATGGATTTTATTTCATGTAATAAATGTTTAATGTAAGTGAGAATTAATTTAAAAAGAATACTTAACGAATGAGACATCTAAATTAATATTTATATTAATGATGTCACTAAAAAATATATATTTATACCACAAATTATTCTTATTAAAATTTAAATTACTCTGTAAAAAAATATTATATTTTCTATGATTTAAAAATAATAAAAAATATATAATATTAAAAAATTGGTGGAATAAAAACTAAAGAAATATTTCTAATGGGGGGGGTGGTTGTTGTGGCAAAAGCAAAAAACTATGGTGAAATTAGCACATATATATATATATATATATATATATATATATATAATCATATCATTCTTTTCAAATACAATAATAAGTATCTACCTTTTTTCAATTTATTTTGAACCAAGTTAAAAAAAAATAAAATAACGGTGAATTATCATTGTTGATTTCCTCAATTTATCTTACAAAAATAAATAAAATGAAAGAAACAAGGTTTTGGTAACCTTTAATATAATTAGACTGACTTTATTGACCATTTGATAAAACTATATATATATATATATATATATACATATGTTCCTTCTTATGCAATTACTGTAACTATCAGACAACATGTTATTTTATGTGAATTCCACCAATGCCATCTCAAGGAATCAAACAATGCACCACATCTACTTGGATTGGCCCTTTTTACGCCACAGTACCAAATCAACTTGATGTCATGTTCTGTTGCTACTACCAACAAATATTCTTGGAATACAAATCTTGACCAAAAAGACAATAATCATGCTGGTTACTACAGACTATACGTTTATGTTTGTATATATAAATTAATAAGAGAGACTAATTTGCAACATATTTTAACTTCTTCAAAGAAATCTTTTAATAATGTAAATTAATTGCAATTGATTCTAAACTGATTAATTTTTTGTCAACATTATATATTTGCACACATAGCAAAATACTTTCTTTGATTCTTCTGTAGTAAAAAGAAAAAAGAAAAAGAAAAGAAAAGAAAAGAATGATGTAGAAAATTAAGAAAACTTAAATAAAGTACTTTCAATATTTAAAAATAAATCTTGAAGTAAAAAATTAAATAATATTTGCTTACTTTTTGACAATATTACACATATTTGTTTATCTTTTGACAATATTACACATATTTGTTTATCTTGAGTATGGAAAAGTTAATCATGGTTTCAAAATACAAATTTTTTTCAATTGATTCTAAGATTTTGATATTATTTTATCATAATAATAATGCAATTTAAAATAATGAGACTATTAGATTCAAATATTTTAAAAATAAAATTGAAGATTAGTTTATAATATTCGAATATAACTAAATAATAAAATTTAAAACTTAATTCAGTTTTAATTTTTACATTTCCTTTTTATTGATTTATTATATTATTATACATTTTGGTGTTATTTAATTACAAATTTTGAGAAAATACATTGAACCGAGCAATATTGTTTCTGAAAAAAATAAAGTACTATTATTAAATAAGTGATAAGTGTTTATAACATTAATAAGTATTATTTTTATATTCTTATCACTATTTTGTATTAGAAAATGAAATGTAACTTTGCATGGAAAGTTTTAGTTAAGGTTTACAAGAACTTGTGCTAATTTGTTCTGGCAATAAGTACAGAATTTATGACCCTGTTATGTACTGATTCAATTTCAAAAATTTAAGAATTATTATACATATTTGATGTCATTTGCATGTTGCATGCTTAATGTTTGTCGTGCATGCACAAAAAATTATGAATAAGTATTTTCAATTTTATTATTCATGTTTTGAACCATTTATTTTTTTAATTCCTCAACCATACATGCTCAAAAATAGTTGCAAGTTCATATTGTTGTTCAGGGAAGTAAGATAAAATTATTTTATCTTGTGACTTAAATGCAATTAATGGTGTCTCTGGTTATTATAACTTTGAGATTACACTTCAATATATATATATAGTATTTTTTATTAGCATCATTAATTTCCTATTATAATTTGAAATGTTTCATGTATACATGAACGTTCTACTAACTTGTAAATATGTAGAATGAACACCATTGATGCCTCCATATTAGCAACATCATTCTCTGACTTCTAAATCGCTTACATTTTAAATACTCTATTTTAAATTTATTTCATTTTCCTCCTCTTTTTATCTTTTTAACATTATTAATTATTATCACGTTTCTTTCTTTGGGCATAAAACTTAAATCAAATCCATTCATGTCTTTATTTATGTAAAACACCATGCATCGTATTTTAGATTCTTGTAGAGTTTTCTAGAAACATATT